TGAGGTACATATTTTTCTTTCTTTTTTTATTTAGACATAACTGAATGTAAAATATGTTGCAATAAACTAATGTTTACACCAGGTCATATCTGCATTGTTGCATGAAAAAGAAATTGAAGTTATATTGTCTAATTGAATAAAAAAATATTAAAGCTTCATGTAAGGGTGTTTTAAGTACAGGTCTTACTGTTCAGTGCACTTGTGTACTTGAATGCAGTGTTGTTTTAACCACTTCATACCCTAGATTAGTATATTTAATTTAGTTTTAGACTTCTAGTTTTAGCAAATCTTCAATTTAAAGTATTATGCTTTTAATTGAATAAATAAATAAATAAATATTGATAATGAATGAATATAGTGCAACTCCCATCTAATATGAAGCTTTGTGTTGCTATTTTTGATCTTTCAAATGATGTCCATTTTAGTAAACATACAGTATTTATGTTGTGCTCTAACTGTATATTTAAAAAAAATGATTGAATACATCAGTTTAGTGTTTCAGTCATGGAAAGACATCATTTTTTCAAACAATGTCTCGTAGCATTACATTTTCCTAAGGTGAGCCATTCAGTATCTACAGCTCATTAGTTTACTGGAAACATTAACTAGAGAAGTACATTTGAATTGAATTAACCTATGCAAATATTAGATTGTACTTAAACTATGGATGTCTGGTAATTGTTTAAGTGCAAGTAAAATAAAAATTGTATGATAGTCACTGTATACAAAATATTTTAGCAAGGAAATGCATTATCAACAGGGCTTGACATCAACTTTTAGCCACAGTGGCTAGTAGTTTTACAGCGTTACTAGCCACTTGCCATTTTCATTAGCCACAATTCTGTTGTTAAGAAAATATATTTTTATATGCATAAATTTGACTTTGGTATGCTAAAAGTACTTGATTTAAATTATGTGTTATGTCCATATGCCTCCTCTTTCATTTAACTTTTTTTTTTGTGTTTTGTAAATGACCTTGCTCAGTGAGCATGAGCAAATGAGCTGTGGTTTCATAGTGTAGCATTGCATTTCACATGACTTTACCAAATTTTTCTCTGGCCACACCAAACTAATTATTTCCTTGCCACAATTTTAAAAAAGTGTAAGAACAAGCAAAATATAGCTGTATACATGCACTTTTTATTCAACAAAATTATTGAATCAAATTATTCCTTAAAAAAATCTCATCTAAAACTATGCACAGTAGTCTGTCCTGGCTAAATGTCCCATATCATAAGGTAACTATACATAAATGGACGGTTTATCTCCTATTAAATCAATGTTATTATAAAAGGATGATATAAAAAAGCTATAAGCAAAAGAAAGGAGGTGAAAAACATTTAGCGTGCGATAATGAAAGGATGATCGCGCACACATGGTTAACATTAGGCCCAATAATAATCTGTTCAAAGAATGGTTGTGAAAGCGCCAAGCGCTGCTGCATCCAAAAAATCTTGAACTTGTTTTATAAACCCTGTATATTTAAAAGAGAACAGATCGCAACATTTGCATTTCCAGGTATGGTTGTTGCTTCACACAACTGGTGTGATGTGATGTGCATGACACTAAAACTACTTTTTTTTAGTGACGAGCCAGCATTAAAATGATTTTCAGCCAGTCAAAGTGGCTAGTGGGAGTGGCTGTCTAACCCGCCACAGCTGAAATCGACCCGCATTTGGTGGGTTGGCGAGTGGTAGCGTCAAGCCATGATTATCAAATATAACATTGTTATGTATAGTTTACAACATTACTTGAGATCAGGCCCGTGCAGATACTATCAAAGGGGCATGTGCAGGAGAAAATATTTTAAGAGGGCCCAAGGTTTATAATGATTGAGATCATTATAAATAAATAAATAAATATATATATATATATATATATATATATATATATATATATATATATTTTTTTTTTTTTTAATGAAATTAGATTTGTTTAAAGACTGATTAGGAAACCAATGTTTATAAAAACTAATTTTATTCTTACAAACTATGTGTCCCTAAACAAAACAAAACAAAATCTTTATTCCATGCATAACAAGTCCTAAATCTAACCATACTTAGAAAGTTTAAAATAAATTATAAGCATATTACAGTGTTACCATAAAATGTATTTGCGCTATATAGATACTTGTGTATTTTTCTTGGTTGTACTGCATAAAAACAGAAAACTTCATGAAGACAGTCCTCACCATATGGGTCACAGGAGTCCAGGGCCACACATGCAGAGAATGTGTTTAATATCATCAGACAACCGCAGCGAGCACTGGTCCTGCTCAGCATGGAGCTACATCCAATGCGAGTCTCTGAACGGCCCAGAGTCCTGGACATGACCTGAATACATATTCCTCCTGCCTGAGCTTCAGGGGTGATGGACCCCCCATCCTGCACCATTACATCCCATCAGCGGCACTGAACACTGCCCAACCCCTCTCATTAGACACTGCCTATCTGCCGAGAAATTGAAGTGGAAGTTGTCTCACATGATCCAGTAGACATTGCCAAAACATAAAGTCAGTTTTTTTTTTCTTTTTACTGCAATTTCAACCTCCAAATATAAAATGAAACCTTTGGAAAGCAGTCTTTCGATAAGTGAAAAAGCCTTTCCAAATAAGGTCTTGTATTGTAGTTTGGGCTATAAGTAGAAGCTGGTGTTCCCAGGGAGAATTGAGCTGTTATGCTTTAAGGCCACCTGTCAAGAACCTGATGAATTAATCCAGCAGTACAAAACAACACAAGTTGCTCGCCGTCTTCTAAGGCTGGGTGGTATGATGATATAGAGTGTGCTAATGATATAAAATCTCAATTGCTAGATAGATAGACAGCATGCTATCTCAAATTCAATTCTCATTTTCTGACTAATTGGACTCGAATGGTCAAATATAACAATCAGATATCATTAAGAAATATATCTGTTAGCCCAATGTATTGTTAGTCACAGAATTTGCAAATATTATGTGATAAAATAAACAAGATAAATAATTTAGCTTTATGTATGCCCAGTCCCGCAACAAATCGGGGTTCCGGATCTGGCATGTTCCAGCACAAATTAAGCCATGTGTATGCCGTAAAAAAATATATTTAAAGTTGAGGTAACTGGAGCATTGCTTACAAAGAACATCTTGTATATGCAAGTAATTTATAGGCAGTTGTAGATGCTATTAATGACATTCGCAGCTCAAAGTATGAACAAAAAAGATAAACACTAGTGCAACACACATTCCTTTAGGGAGTAAAATGCGTTTTATTAATTTTAAATGTTTTATTTCAAAGACTCAAAGACCTGAAAAGGGCTATTTTTGTCAACCTATCTTTAAACTAATTTTAAAAATACCAGCCTACATCATAAAAACTACAACCTAGTAATAGCTGAACTATTTCTTCATTTATCTAATATCCAACGTCATTGAAAAAGAGAGCTGGTCTGAGCCTAAAACTCTTGTGCTGAAAAGTGGACCCACTCCAGCCCAGCACAGCTTACTAAATATCACTTAAAGTGAATGCTTATGGCCCATTTCCACTGACTGTAGGGTACAGTTCGATACGCTTTTATGGCCATTTCCACTGTAAAAAGGTACCAAAAAGCGAACCGTACCATACCACTTTTTGGGTACCCTTTCGAAAGGGTACTTAGCTCAACAAAAGAGTACCAAAAGTTGGAGCTAGATGTACAGCTGAACGCTATTAGTTCACAGAGAAGTGTCACTAGCACAATCCAGGAGAATGAAAACAAAGGAAGGGCCATTTTTAAATACACAGCTTAGGCATTACACCATAATAATATATACATGTAATACAGAGCCATGGTCGACCCGAATTCAAACAAACCTTGTCATCTTCTTGATGAACAGCCACAAAGCAAAGAAGAAGAGCAGAGTCTATCCTGTGCCCCATTGTTGTTTACAAGGCTGTCTAAAGCACTTTTCCTAAGAGAGAAAGAGCATGCATGTCTACTTGAAAAACAAACTTCTTGACCTGATGATAATAACGTGTGTGTGATTACGGAAGTGCTTCTGGCATGCAATCCTTTCAGAAACAGACAAACGCGAGAGTCACATGTGAAAAAAAACAAAGGAGCAAATGACTCTTTCAGCAACCTAAGATGAACAAACTGCCATGTTTAGCTATTATGATCACCTTTTGGATTACTATGAACTAGGAATGACGGAATTACTTCCTAACAAAAGGTTACATGTGCTGGGGAAGATTAAAGATATAGATGAGAGGTTTGCTCTGACTGTGGGCTATATTTCATGTTGTTTTTGAACCCAAATAAGGACTAAATGTATGTTGTGTGTAGTTCTTCTTTATTTTTTTTTAATTAGTAGCATATCGGAGACTGTAAGGGGCTGTACGTGTTCATATATGCTGCATTTATTTATTTATTTTAAATAATTGCAGACGTTACAGTAGGCTATTTCGCCTTCATTGATCTGGAGTTATAATCAAATCATGTTCATAGAAAGATTAGTAATGAACATTTATACACATGTATTTGTGTATAAAGCATCTGTTTTGTGAGTGCTTCTTATATGATAAGTGAACGACCAGTACAGCTTTACTGTAGACATTTCCTAGAGCGAGAATGAGGTCAACTGAAACTTTCTGTTGTACACCACACCCACCAAAAGAGTACCATCGGTACCTTTTGGAAACGCAAGCCTGATAATGGTGACCTGTGCCGACCTATAGCATACCGTACCACTCAGTGGATACACGCAATTAGAGAGGAGTGGCCAAGCTGTCAAGTGGACATCATAAGAGAACAAATTCAATCTTTTTTTCTATAGATTAACTTGTCTCCAGCTTTGCTTGCTATAGCTTTTACTTTTTTGTCTCAGCATTAGCCTTCACTTATTTAGCAGCAGTATATTTCTTACATAAAATTCATTCTAATCAACAAATAATGTCATTAATCCACAATTGAATGTCTCGTGTCATGAAACAAGTTTTTGGTCATATCACAAACCCTTTACTATCTTCAAAAAACTGCAAACTCACCTCATATTCAACGTATTCCTCTTCCTCCACCTCATAAGAAACCGTCTGGATTTTCACATCATTTTCATCCAACAGTTTAGCCTGTGGGTCCTCCGTACTGGGGGTCTCAACCACAACTTCCTTGTCTTTCTTCTCCATGAAGGTGGTCTCGCAGCACTCATTTTTGTAATCCTTGCCCTTGCCGCTCACGTCGTCCTTGTAAAGGATGAAGTTAGGCTTATAAAAGGCCTCCACCGCGAGATGAAGCGAAGTGGCGTCCAGTAGCTGAGATTTCGCCTTGCCGTTTCCTCCTGTTACTGCGACCCCACCACCACCACCTCCACCGCCACCACCACCTCCTCCACCAGTCACAAAGTAGTTTATAATGTTCTCCTGATACTGGTTGCTGTGGAAGTCCCCTCCATAGCCATAGTCGGCCATCACCATATGCTTGCTGTTCTTATCCAGAAGAGGGTTCTGAAGCTCACTTAGACTCTCCATTGTAGAAGAGCAGGGAGCCGGGACTCGGTGTTTAACAGCCGGATGGAGAATGAAGGGAAGGAGCGATGACCTTGGCTGGACGGATGTGACAGGTGCTAATGTGTTCAATAGGCCGTGAGCTGTAGGAGGAGTGAGAGGAGAGAAAAGTGAGGGAGCGTGAGGTAAAGACATGGACTATTGAGCACATGCAGAGGAAAGTTTAATAAGAGCGAACTGCCAGGATGGACAGGTGCTGGGCAATAGGAAAGTAGTCATGCAGTTAACACAATGATGTCTGTGGCACTGTGAGTGGCTTGATCTGTGAAGACTCTCATTATGGCATAAATATTGCAGATTGAGGAGTTTTGTAAGCGAGTAGTGAGTGACTGTATGCGTCATTTTTTTTCTCTCTGGTTTCAAATTTGTACAAAAATCCTCATGTTCCTTTTTACACCACTCGGCTGATAAAATGTGGTTATCAGGCAGATTTCAATTAACTTCATTCTGTTGCCTCGTGGCACTCACTGATAACCCTGCCGAATGGGCAATGCCTGACAGATCATGTGCCATGAAGGTAAAGCAGACATCTTTGTTACAAAGGCAATCCTGAAATGCCCAATGGTCCATCCTACTTGCCTAACCAGCCTTTCAAAATTCAAGAGGAAATGTATAGTTAGTCTTGCATAGGCAGGACTTAATGGATGAGGAGATCCTCCCCCCCCAAAAAAATGTGTAAAGCGCTTTGAGTGTCCAAAAAAAGTGCAATATAAATATAAGGAATTATTATTATTATTATTATTATTATTATTATTATTATTATTATTATTATTATAAATGGCATGTTTGACATGCACTGTATTTCTAATTTAATATTTAATTTGTGCTTTTTATTGTTTGTCATTGTCTTGTCATTTTTGTTTGCAATTTTCTATCATTCTGTGACTAAAATGATTACTACACAATAATGAACCAGCATGAAAACGTAATAATTAGATTTCAATCTTCCTGAATGGTTAAATGTAATAAATGTAAATCATTAAAAAAAAAAAAAAAAAAAAAACACCTCAGAGAAACAGTGTTGTCAATTTTCTTTTTCTTTTTTTTTTTTTTGCAAAGTGATTGTCATATATTTATATACAGTTATTGCTGGATATATTGCAGGACAAAGTGATATTGATAAATATGTGTATTTAAAGCAGTGGTCTCAAACTCAAACTCAATTTATTAGCTCTGCGTAGTTTAGCTTCAATCACCTCTAACTCACACCTGCTCAATACTCTATAGTAGTCTCGAACACTTTGATTATTTAGATTGGCTGTGTTTGATTAGGGTTGGAACAAAACTGTGGAGAGCTGCGGCCCTCAAGGAATCAAGTTAGTGAACTATGATTTAAAGCTTTTTAAACTCATAACCTAAACATCCTGGTTTAATATGGATATATGATATTTGGCTACTGCTCAAATTTTCTAGAGGTGAATGCTACACTGTAAAACTTAATCAAATGCAATGAGTGCAGTTAAGTCAAAATTGACTGAAAATTAATTCTACTCATTTTAAATGAGTTTTAAACTCAGTGTTGAAGGTAATGAGTTTGTTCATGCCTCATTACTTCAACGTAAATAGAGTAAGTTCACAGTACTCATATAGATTAGTTTTTTTTTTTTTTTTACTCAAATTGTTTGTAGCAGCTGATTTCCTCAAACGGTTTGAGTTACCTTAACTTTTTGGGATTTTTCAGTGTATAGATAACAAGCATGCACAGCACACAGATTTTATGGCATATGTACGCAGTTGACATTAATAATCTACTAGATAATAAGTCTATTAGTAATCTATTAGATAATGAGTCTGTTAATAATCTATTAGATAACGAGTCTATTCAATTAAATTTTATTTATTTATTAAGCATGTTTCCTCCTAAAAGCATTAGCACTGAAATGACTGATTATTGGCTATAATGAATAAGTCTAAATGAATCATAAACATGTTTACAGAAAACCTGAATGTTTCTGCTTGTAGAAATCTGCACTAATTGATACATATTTACTAAACTGGGCAAATTAGCATAAGCGCACAATGGAAGTGGATTGTCTGGCGATGGAATTTCTGCGGATAAACAAGTGACTATGCGTGAATTAAAGAACACAGATGCAGCCGCTCATTTCCATAATTATCAGCACAATCTACCTAGAGCACCGCAAATTGTTTAACCACTGTATTGATGTGATTAGATCATTTCTTCTGGTATAACTAATAAATGAACATGAGTAGATAAAATCTTCTTTTCCCAACTACTGACCTGGTATGCATAATATATTGTTTTATTTGTGTGAATGAAGATCATTATGACAGTGTTGTTGTCTGTAGACCAACCATCTATGTTTTCAGTATGCTGATGTTATATGGATAAACAGTCATGCTAGTATTAATCATGTAAATAAATTGCTCCAATCATTTTTTTAATGAATGTACAATAAGGCCAGTAAACAATGAATGATAAACTTTAGTAGTTTTTTAAACCCCAAAAGAGGATTTTCTCCAGTGCAAACTGTCAGCAAATCTAATCAAATACATTTATAAGTTCTCATTTCATCAGTCTAGCACTGACAATGTCTTGGTTTTCTGGTGGACTTATTAAAAAATATCACGCATTCTTACTTCAGGAAGCAGTGTAAAGTCAGCCAGTCAGATTAGCTGTTGCAGTGCGCATCTGACTGTCTGAGCACTGTGTGGTCTGTCTGAAGCCGAGACTAATATTCATCAGTGTCTTTAATGTGTGATTAATGTGATGTTAAATAGTCTTGCAGGTTTATGATGCTCTTTAACCAAGCACATCAATCGTGCTCAGATCTAAATCCTGTCATATCTCTCTTTTTGATATTAGAAAACGACATGTGGCCGCGGTGGTTGGTGCGCCCTCTTTTACCTTCTCCTCATTAATCTGTGATTAAAATAGCAACACAATCAGATAGAAAGCAGATTATTTCAGAGCTTTTTGATTTGATTGTGCCGTTGCCTCAGCGGACCGTCAAATGTTGGATCATGCATCAAGAATGCTGACTTCATGCTTCGCAGATTGTTTGAGCTCCCACACGCTTTTCAACACAGTCAGCATCTGCTGAGCACATTCTCCCAGTGCAATAATACCACACCATCAGAGCTAACTAATGAAAAGAGCCTCCAGTCTCTAGAGATCAAATTATGAATTAGGGAATAGATTGATGATTAGTTATTCTAGGCGCCTTCCCACTTTTAATGTCAATCTTTCCCTCTATCTCTCTCGCCGCATTGATTCCTGGACAGTTTCGACCTGCATCTTCAACAAAGTGTCCGCTGCAGATCCATTCCTCACTTCCTTTGGCTTCCTCTCCAATGCTAGTCATCATTTCTCCACCCACCTATATATAACAAGGTCTATTTGTGGTAAAATAAAGTATTGGTAGAGAACAAATAATGTGGAGTCTGCATTTGTGGCTTGTTATGCAAGTATGGCACTACTCTCTGAAGCAATTAAGTTGTGTAATATATCAAAAAGAACAAATTAAAAGCGGTGGCTTCTGTTAATATTCATTCATTCATTTTCCTTCGGCTTAGTCCCTTTATCCATCAGAAGTCTCCATAGCAGAATGAACCGTCAACTTATCCAGAGTTTGTTTTACACAGAGGATGCCCTTTCTTTCTGGACCCCAGTATTGAGAAACATCCATACACATTCCTTCACACTCATACACTATGGCCAATTTAGTTTATTCAGTTCACCTATACTGCATGTCTTTGGTCTGTGGGGGTAACCGGAGCACCAGGAAGAAACCCACGCAAACACAGGGAGAACATGCAAACTTCACACAGAAATGTCAACTGACCGGGCTGGGGCTTCTTGCTGCGCACTGCACCACCGTGTAGCCTTTTGTTAATATTATTTTATTTTTTATTCTAAAATAATATTTAAACAACTCTTTACAATTCTTTTTAAATCGTACATTATCTTGCAATCATTCTTTTGTCCTTAATCATCTGCTGGCATTATTTAGTGTTGTTATTCATCATTAAAATGAGGCCATGCTAAAATTGCTCAAATTCTGCATGAATTCCAGTTAGAGCCGCATTAGCATGTCACAGCAGACCTAATTTACATTTCTGCTACTCTATGCGTGTAGTCTGCACCACCCTGGCATTTGAAAACAGAAAAATTCCCCAGGTTCGAACTGCCATTGGAATCTTGGAAATGTGAATTTTCACAAAGACTTAATGACTTTTTTTTTTGGTCAAAACGAGACACATGGCCTTTAAAACATATGCTGTTGTTTGTCTCTGAGAGGTCGGAAACTGTTTACACATATTGGCTGTAAAGGACTCGTTCATTGGTGGAGTTTGTTCATTTGCCATAAACGTGCAGACTCTGCTGTGAATCTGAAACCAAATATTTCCTCATATTGAAGAAGGCTGATGAAGAGTGTACACTTAATTTTTTTCACTGAGTTAAATGGATTGCTTGTAGTGCAAGTGGCAGCAATAAATCACATTATATTTTGCAGGGCAAAGATAAAATTGAATCACAGATTCTGGTTTCAGATGAAGGCAGCTGGCATTTTAATGTTGTTTATCTTTACATGATTTCACACAACAGCACTGTAGTTGGTGTCATGGTAATGTCTGGTTTAAACTGAGGGCGCTACAGTATGTAGGCAGCTATAATTTGTCAGAATTGCTCTGTTGAAACATTTGAACAGTGGAATTGCCTGTGATTCATTTCATCTCAAGCAATAGAGCTTAGGATAAAAAGGGTCTTCTACATGACAAATAAGTCTCGTACAGAACTGAGTCAGAGAATCCTTCAGATCATTTTAAAGACTTCTTTTCACAATCAGCTAAAGCTTTTAGATCTGTGCATTTCTCTTATATTTAGTTGCTTAAATGCATTTTTGTGGAACTTTATCACTCAGCAATATTGAGACAGGTTTAAGTATTACAGCCATTCCTGTAAATGTGTTTTTAAATCTGTGATCATGGCAACCACTATT